TGTTTGTTTTTAAATTTTCCTAAAAGCTACTATTTTATGACAAATGGCTCATAGAAAAACCTAAGACTGTTTAAGAAGTGTGCCAGAATTTGTCAATTCCTGAGCTCTTTTTGGAGACACAGTGTTCTCTGGTTCCTAAGGGATACTGGAGGCTGCTTCCCTCTTTACTCTCAATGAAAACAACTGAAAATCCAATGCTTGAACAATGACCTAGGAACCTAACAGCAAGGTTTAATTTCTACTTTTTGTTTTTTGTTTTTTTTCGAGACAGGGTTTCTCTGTGTAGCCCTGGCTGTCCTGGAACTCACTCTGTAGACCAGGCTGGCCTCGAACTCTGGAACTCAGAAATCCGCCTGCCTCTGCCTCCCAAGTGCTGGGATTAAAGGCGTGTGCCACCACCGCCCAGCCTGATTTCTACTTTTAAGTAACTAAGATCCCAACAAGGTCCCACAGCAGGGTTGAGGTCCACCTTATTTATCCTTTTGCTTCCAGAACCTGGAACTAACCTACTAACCTTGCCTAACAACAGCTCACCGGGTGAAGACCTTGAGGGCTCCAGAGGTCCCTCTAGTGCACTGCAGAATAAACTGAACTTCCTATTTTCTAAGCTCAGGCATGAGGATTCTGGGTTTGAAAATAAAGCACTTGGCCACGAGCTCTGGTACCCTCACTCCTGCCCTCCAAGGGTGTGACTCTCTAGTTGCTTTCCCTCCACCTGGCATCCCAAGCACATCAGGAAACTTCAAAACGGTCTTCTTTAAAGAGGAAGTTTATCCTAAAAATTGTCTTATGATTTGAGGGTCTAGAAACGAACACACCAGAGATTAACACAGCCCACTGAGAATTCTGAACAAATTCCAGTGACAGCAACAAAGACTCTTTAAGGTCGGCTGATCCTATCTCACCAGAAAACAAATTATAACATAATCATTTGTTCATAATTTCCTGTTTCCAAAGCCGACAGGCATCAGTGTCTTGTGCTCAGACAGCCCTCACCACTAGAAAGGAGTTCAGCCACCTGCTAGTCTGGGTATAGTGTACAATGCAAGGTCAGGCAGCTCTAAGTTTAAAGTGGCCCAGCACCACCAGGTTATGACTGAACTAAGGCAGTGAGTGAGCTGGCCCTCATCTAAACATTCAAGGTCAATGCTGAAATACGCTGATAGCTAGACCAGGTGAAGGAAGTCTCCACAATTTAGCCTCTCTCTTTCCTTCTCCCTTATGCTCTGCAGAGAACTCCCACCAGCCTGCTCCATTATGGTTAGAGGGTCCTTTTGCCATTCCAGACCAGACCCACAAGGAATACAGTGAGACAACTCCAAAGAGCATCTTCTCACAAGACAGCGCTGTGTTAACTGCCTTTGCGGCAGCAGTTCCCTGGTGGTCCCAGAATTCTGGCTGTTATGAGTTTTCTCCCTCAAGTAGAGGATGCAGTGAGCTATGTGATGTAAGGACCCAAACCTATGAAAACTCAAAACCAATCTGCTTCACTAAGAGGAGCCACGAGCTGGGCATGAGCTGGCATGGTGGCACACACCTCTCAGCCCAGCAGTCTGACGTGGAGTTGGGGGCCAGTGAGGACTACATGGCAAGTTCCAGAGCTGTGACCTGATACAAACACAAGTGAGTATGCTTTATCTTTCTTAGGGACAGTTAGCAACACAAGGACCAAGCAAAGTGGCCTTTTTGTGGGGCAATAGCTACTTCCTAGTTCATCTATCTTTGCTGCAGGAAACAGCAACAAGCAGGGTGACCAGGGACGGCTGGGGTGACAGACAGACAGAGGATACTAGAAACCGGGCTGCAACACAGCAAGCTGGAGGAGTGCTAGTGAAGCTCAACAACTCCTCACAGCGTGCCCTTGCTTATCAGCAGTCCTCATCTCCAGAGTACTTGGGAAACCACCATTACTGCTGGCTCGTCCTCAATCTCAGTAGACAAGACTCACTGGCTCAAATAAAAGCCACAAGGAACAGATCCAGGCAAGAGCAGAGCTGACATCTCACACGTGGCTGGGATCTGAAGGAGGTCTTGGCTCAGGCTGCTGCTGATAGACTCTGCAAAGTAGCATCGAGCTTGTTGATAGAGCAACAATGCACATGTACCTCACAATGAAAGCTAAAGCAGGAGGCCCAAGGCAGCCAACGGCTGACAGGCTTTCTGCATTCCAGCAAATCTCTTTTTTAGACATGCTAGAATATGATAAAGAAGCAATGACATAAGCACCCCCAGAACACGGAGCCTAAGGTCTCACTGTGTTTTGTGGACTCCTGGGCACATAACTAGGGCTAAGTTAGCCAGCTGGAGTTAAGGAGTGTGCTGCTATCAGATTGGACAAAGCACTCTGGAAAACTCAACCTTACAGTTATCTCCCATTCAGACAACCCAGAGTTCACAAAAATGCTTTTTAATTTTTAGTTTTGGGGATGGCTAACAAAGCTTCTGAAACTCTCCATGCAGGTTAATGATCTAAAAGCCATGCTGCCCGCACACATACGCCAAAGCCAGAGTACTCGCAAGGCTAGTATATGTACACTCACATCACTTCAAAGGCGAATCCCCATCCTCACCCCCAAGAAGAAGGCTCCTCTCACCCTAGACCCTGGCACAGTAACCCTGGGCTGGAAAGAACGAAGGGATCTCACCAAGCAAGACTACCAAAGAGGAAGACAATCTATTCTGCAAGGAAAGGGAGGATGTTGCCAAGCAGCTTTGGACTCCAGAGAGAATACCCCATTAGCACAAAGCAAAAAAGTATGTATGTATGGCCACAGACAGACAGAAGCAGGGCTTTAGCTCCAAGCAAGAGATTTCTATTAACTAAAGGCAAGTGGAAGTTAGCAAGGAAAAGCCAAGGATACCCCTTTCCAACCTTAAGAGACTTTCACACTGGACCTGAACTTAGCCGCCACTCTGGGCCAGCCATTAGTCTAACTGGAGGAAACTAGTACACTCGAGCACCAGGCAGTTGGGTCTTCAGAGTTAGTCGTCACCTCATTATTTAATGTCAGACCACAACAGTCCTGAAATAAAGTACCATATGTCTACACAATGGGCTTGTGGCTATGAAGCTACATTCCCTGAATGGCCCTGCATGGAGAAGTCTGTGTGCCATCCCTTGAAAATGGTGACAGTCAATCCAGAGGCCACATCTTGATGCACCGTAAAGAGCAAGAGCATGAGACAAGCTGGTTTAGCACCATTTATTTGTGATCTCAGCTGTTGTAGTAGTTGCTGCTGTCAGCCTGTTCTCAAAGGATAACATGCTCTTCCGTTCCTCTTGTCCAGGACAGAAGGGTCTTCCAGGTGGCACGCCAACAGAACAAGAGACTCCGATGATGCCAGCTTCAATGATGGTGCCATCCAGAGAGAGGGTCATGGCACATTCAATCGCGGCTTCCAGAGGTTTTGAAAAAGGAGCCTTTGGGGGCCCAGCCTGCCTGGCATTCTAGTGAAAGTGCAAAAGGTAGCTCATTGGGAGAGGAAAGAGAGTGGGGAGCAAGGGAAAGTGGTATCTGGGTCTTAAGGAGGGTGCTAGAGCTGCAGGGCAGGAGTCCCAGGGGCTCCTAGGTCCTGGAAGGATTTGTTTATGGGACTTGACAAGTCAAGATGAACTGCCTCTAGGTATCAGAAAGGGAGAACAGTGGGGAGTGAATGGAAACTATCCTTTCCCTTTCCTAACCAGGTTAAATGGGAACCCAGCAAACAAGAATCCTAGGGAAAGATGTAGACCTTTTGAGCTTGGACTAAACCTAGCAGGAGGGCAGACACTATCCCTGTCCTGCATCAGAGTGTAAGACAGACCTGCTCTCAGAAAAACAGTGCTGACACAGGACTACTGGACAAGCAACCAGGGCCACAGATGGCAAACGAGTGCTGGTGGCTCCAGTGAGTCAGAGCCATCTGACACAGGACCAATGCCCATGGCAGAACTCCCAGTCAAAAACTGGCACCTAGCTGGTGTAAGTGAACTCCACCACCACATCATATGAGACTACGTGGGAAAGAGTCTGCCTGCTGATGACAACCACTGTCTCACTATTAGTCTTGATCAGGAATGGCATGATGATGACATTGTACTAAAGATGACAGCAATGATACTTGGTCCTGTAAGCTTTCTTGCTCTGAGGACCTTCAGTTACAAAGATTAAACCAGCCTAACCACAACCTTACTATTTATTTCTGGACTCCCATCTTCTAGCTGGAGAAACTGATGCAGAGTTGCAGAGACTTGCCGAAAGCACATACTGGCTCAGGGCCACAGGGGACCTGACTCCTGGTGGCTGGCTTTCCTCCCACCTTTGAGACAATCTGGAAGCTACTCGCACAAGCTATTCATAATGACCTGAGCTCATCTCTGTCACTGTCCCTGAAGGAGAAGCCCTCACCGGCAGTGCTTGATGTGGACAGCAGCAGCACTCACTGTCTTCAGTGGGACACAAAGTTTCTTTTTCCTGTGACTCTCCCCTCCCTTCTCCCCTCTCATAATCTACTGCACTGCATCTAGACTCCAGTTCTATGCAGACAGAGGAGAGTCACCATTCCTGATAAGATGTCAATCTCCCAAGACAAAGAGGACAGACTAAAGCTGATAGGTTAAACAGACATGCAAAGGTGGGGTCGGGGTGGGCAGGGAAGAGGATTTTATTGTTCAATAATTGTCTTTTAAAACAGCCATGAGAAACTTCTGAAAGAGCTTTGTCTTTCATTTTAAAATAATGGTTAGCATAAGAAAGACAAGACAGCCTATAGAAATAAACCCAGCCCAGGCAGGAAAACTGGGTTTCTCCAGAAGGGCCCTTTGCTACACAGCACCTCACAGTAGGTCCTTGGAGCCTCACTAATAAGAACTTCAGCAAGTGGCCAAAGCCCTGGAGGTGGCTGGTATGTCCCTATGTCACAAGTCAGTGTCATGTATGACCATATTCGTCTGGGCCCAACTATGGAGCTACTTCTGCTAAGCTCAGGGACCTGTCCCCCCCAAACCCCCCAACACGTACTTGATGCTGTCGGTGTGAGTTTTGTATTCCATAATGGTGTTGGGAGGTAGGTTAAGCACGCGCCGAAGAGTATCCCGGATTCGGGCTGTGGTTGCTTGGTCACTGGCAGTCTTATTCCATATAGAAATAATGTCCTCCTAAGGGACGAACAGAATGAATTATCAAACCAAGAAGCAGCAATGAGAACAGCAGCAACACAAGAAAGAACGCTGGCCTGGGCTGACTTACCTGAAAGCGGACAGAGACCACAGCCCCGCAGATCTCCTCCCCAACCATGAACTGCTCCCCAAGCATGGCCAGGATGAGATTCTCCCAGCAACGGGAAGCTAAGCCCTTCCGAAGTCGAATGATCCACTTGCCCCCATTTTTATTTGCATCATCCTATAGAAAGACAGAAAGCATCAAGGTTAAACTACTGGTCCACAATGTCACCTTTGGTATATGTACCAAAGAATACTTTTGAAGACCAGTAAAGTCTGGCCACTTTCTAATTGCCATTATTTCAATGTTAAGGAGAGAAGAAATTGGGAACAACAACAATAACAACAAAAACAAAACAAAAAAAAAGAAAGAAAGAAAGAAAGAAAAAAAGGCAAGCATCCTTGACTTAAATAATTTTTTAAAAAGGACTAAAAAGATCTTTTTAAAAGAACTCACTTTTATCTGAACTATTTCAGGAATCACAGTGAAATGGTATATTCCAAACACAGACCATAATCACTTTTTGCTAAAATCTGAAGGTCACTAAATACCAAGTACACAGACAGAATTTCAGATTTTAACACAAGCACAATGAAGTAGAGACACACAACAAATTAATTACAGCCACACAGCCTAATGAGTACTACTGTAACGTGCAAACAGGATGGTGAGAACATACTGCAGAAACCTCAGGGGGAACACTTAGACTGGTCCTGAGGGAAACATGTAATACGTACAGCAGAAGAAGGATGCTAAGGTTGTATCTCACTGAGCCAGAAGGAAGGAAAGATTTTTCACATTTCTAGAACATTATTTTTTCCTTAGAAAAATGCTCTAGCCTTGGAGTAGAAGTGTTGCTCCAGAGTGCAGTCAAGTAACAGCTCTTCGGAGAGATCACAGAGCTCTCTTCCAGTCTCCTGTTCTCAAGTTTTCTTCTTGCCACTTTAACCCTCTATCTACTAAGCAAATGCACTGCACATGCACAAACACACAGATCTGTTCTAAGGGAACAAGGACATTTTAAAAAAGCTTTTACTGCTATAACAGCAGTAAAATTTGAATGATAGCACCTATGAGGGAGTAGCACTATTTGAAAGAATCAGACAGATTAAGAGGTATGGTCTTGCTTGCTAGGGCAAGTATGTCACTGGGGGTGGATTCTGACGTTTAAAAGTCCAGAGTCTCATGCTTTGCCTATGAATCTCGATGCTGACCTGCTGTCCCAGCACCATGTCTGCCTGCATGCCATTATGCTTCCCGCCAGGATGATAATGGACTAAACCTCTGAAACTATAAGCAAGCCCCAATGAAATGCTTTCTCTTATAATAGTTGCCTTGGTCATGGTATCTCTTACGGCAATACAACAGTAACTAAGAGAGGACCATCTTCAAAGCTATAAGCCATGAATACATACAATTATATCAACGCCTTTTCCTAGAGATGCATGCTCCCAAGATTTACCAAATAGAGTTACAGCTTTGAGAGAAAACTTCAAAACTCTTTTAACCTTGGCAGAACTTAAAATTAAAAGTAAACAGATAAATAAAGAAAAGTGAGTTTTCTCCCAAATGCAGCTAGAGACGCCAGTCCTTACCTCCCACATAGGTTTAATCCCTTCTTTGAAGAGATGAAAGTCACTGTGGCCTGTCAGGTCCCCAGGACGTACCATGTGGCTGTAAAACTTCCAGAACTGCTCCACCTGTAGAAAGAAGAGCCAACAGTACAAGGACTTTATCTCTTCTTTGAATGTACATAAAGCTGTATTACTGAGAACAGAGTCGTGAGAGACACCTTGTCTCAGGCACCTTCTTTTGGGGACACATTTTCATTTGGAGCAGGGTAGAAAAAAAGACCATCATATAGGCTTTTTATTTGGTGTAAGACAAGGTCTCTTGTGGCCCAGTCTTGAACCGACCTAGCTCCTGCCTCCACCTTCCAGGTGCTAAGACTATAAGCATGCACTACCATGCCTGCCTAGAACAGTTTAATCAAAGAAAAACAAGACAAAATAAAACACAACACGTAACACTTTCAATACAAGGATAAACTGGCCTGGAGGGCTGGATCAGGGTCAAGTACTCTGGTTTACCTTCCAGAGGACCCAGATTCAAATGGCAGCTCACAACCAACTGTGAGTGACAGTTCCAGGGGATCCAATACCCTCTTCAGACTTTACACACGGTACACATGTGGTACAGATATACATTCAGCCCAACACTAATACAGATAAAATATTTAAAATCTAAAAAAAAAAAAAAAAGTTGGTGAAAACTGCTGGCTTCCGTCGTCAGCAGCTTTGAGGTGGCAAAGGAGGCCACGCTGACAAGTCCTGCCTCTCATCATGTAGTAACAGCACCAGCTTTTCGCACAACTGAAAGCCTTTCATACTGAGGTATGTCAGGAAACACAGGCCTCACCTGCATATACTTGTAGAGCCAAATCTACTTTTTTCTTTTTGTTTAGACAGGGTCTCACACTACAGCTCAGACTGAACTAAGGCTAGAGTTTCTATCCCTCCTCTTAGCTGGAAAGATTGCGTCTCTTGTTTATTTACTCTGAACTTAAGAAAACTAGATTTATGCTTTTCTTTCAAATGTGTTTATATACTTGTATTTCCAGTATTCAGGAGCTAGGGCCATGGCTCACTCAGTTGGAGTTACATAGTGAGACCCTGCATCAAAATAAACAAAAACAACAACAACGACGAAAACAACAAAAAACAAACAAACAAACAAAAAATCTAGAGGCTGGAAATCCAGATGGGTTAGGGGTTGAAAGGACTTGCTGCTCTTCCCAGAGGACCTGAGTTCAGTTCCCAGCACTCACATTGGGTGGCTCACAACTACCTGTAACTACAACATCAGGGGATCTAATATCCTCTTCTGGCCTCTGTGCATGCACACACATACACAATAAATAAACTTTGAAAGATGTCTTATTAAAGATTTATTTTATTTTTAATTATGTGTATGTATCTGTGTCTATGCACATGCCCACAGGCTAGAAGATATCAGATTCCTGGGAGCTGGCATTACAGGAATTCGTGGGTACCTGACATGGATGCTGGGAACTGAACTTGGCCCTCTACAAGAGCAGTATTCTAGTGCTGGGAAAGTGGCTTGTGGCTCCAGGAAGCTGAGGCAAAAGAATCACAAGTTCCAAGCCAGGCTGAGATCTAGCAAGCCCTTGTCTCAAAACAAACACTATCACAATCTGGGCTGGTCCTTGGCTCTGTGCTGGGTAGATCCTTTCTTGAATGCCAGAAGAGAACAGGAGCTGCAATGACTTTTAGAGGTCCTCTCTGGGCCTCTCCTCCAAGTCAGGAAACAGTACTTTTGTCTTAACAATGGAATTTTTGGAAAGACATCATCTGTGGGGCAGAGGAGCTGACTCAACGGTTAGGAGCATTTGCTGTGCTTCCAGATGACTGGAGTTTGATTCCCAGCACCCACAACAGAAGGCTCATGACCGACTCTAACTCCAGCTCAGCTCTAGGGAAGCCAACACCCTCTTCTGGTCTCTGAGGTGCCCACAAGCATGTGTGCACATATACACAAGCACATAACAAAAGTAAAAATTAAACCTTTAGGCCAGATATAGTGGCAGAAGTAGGAAGACCTTGGTGAGTTCAAGGCTAGCCTAGTCTACATAGTGGCTTCTAGGCCAGCATAAAGAGACTGTTTTTCTGAAAAGGGAAGGAAGGGGAGGGGAGGAAGGGGAGAGAAAAAAAAAAGAAAAGAAACTTTAAAAAACAAACAACACGAGAAAAGGAAGAGGAAGAGCTAGAGAGGAGGAGAGATGGAGCCGCCATGGAGAACCACACACGCATCAAGAGCAGTCCTGGGTAACAAATTTTATCTAAGGTTAGGTAGTGGGTAACAACTCTAATTGTGTCAGCAAATTGTTAATTGAGCATTTCTAAATATATAAAGCCATCGGATAATCTTTAAAAACAAACAAACAAAACTAGAACTACTGCTTTAGATTTGAAAATAGTTTCATGTTATCATTATTCTCTGAGAGGGATTTAGTATCACAGGCCCTTCCTTCATTCTATTTTTTTCCTTTCTTAAGGTTTTCCAACAAGACAGGGTTTCTTCATGTAGCTCTGGTTGTATACCTGCATGTAAGCCTTGAACTCAGAGATCCAACTGTTTCCACCACAGGCTGTTTCTTAATGCCATGAATTATGACAGCAGACTTCAGACTCTATCACCTGTCCAGTGAACACTGAGGGTGCTGATGGCAAACCTCTTAATTCACAAGGAAAAAAATGTAATTTCACAGAACCCTGAAATGCCTTTCCCAGTTCCTTCTCTGATCCTAATAGTTAACCAGTTGTTCTTAACAGCTGCAACCGTACTTGGAAATTAGTCTAACATTCTCACACAGCAGACAATCAAAACTGTGATGGCTTCTGTGTTAGCTCACATCTGTAATCCCAGCACTTAAGACAGGATTGTGGCAAGATCCCAGACCAGCCTGGGGTTACACAGCAAGACACACCGTCAGAAAACTGACTCTGCATATAGAGACTAAACATGTCTATTGCATACAGGGGTTCAGGAAAACCTTTGTTCAACAACACTGGTGTTAGCTGCAGTTAGGGTCTTCACATTTACAAACGTAGTAAAGAGACAGGAGGGGAAGGAAGGGTGGGCTGGGGTGAGGAGCTTGAACAACTCTGTATTGATGGCATCCACAAAACCAATTTTATCAGAATCCAATTTCATGAGGATAGATAATATAAACAAGGAAACTCTCTTATGACACTTCCTAAATATAAAGATTCAATAAATATCTGCTAAAATAAAAATAAAAAAACCTCAAGCCAAGCCCCTTTTTAATTTCTGCATTATGCCTTTCTGATCAAAGCTACCATCCTCACACTTAAATTACCTACATGTTACCTATGAATGTCTAACAACGAACCAACGTGAACTTGGGAATGCAACTCAGCCAAGTAAGGAAACAGAATGTTTAACAGTTACTAGGAAAGTAAATAAACAGCAACAGAAATGCAGGTAGGAGGGCCATATCAATGAATATTTCAGTGAACAACTAAGTACTCACAGAGGCAAAGGTGCCAATCTGCTTGATGTTCTGCTCATAGCTCTGTGAACTGGTGGGGCGGCCAGGGGTTCTCCTAGAGTACCAAAAGGTGTAGTTGTACTGCAGGGGATGTTCTGCTGGTCCAGGGACAACAGCCTGGGAAGTACAGAAGGTATGTTAGTTCATGGCTAACTTTTCGTTCCTTGGTCACATGCTGGAAGGCCTTTTTATTGTATCACTTATATTATATTCACATTTGTATACCTTGTGTGTGTGCATGTGTACATGCATGTGTACACATGCACACACGCGTGCCTGTATGTGGGTGCTTGCAGAGGCCAGAAGAGGGCTTGTGAGCTACCTGGCATGGGTGGTGAGCACCAAAGTCTGGTCCTCTGTAAAAGTAGCAAGTGCCCTTAACTACTAAGTCACCTCTTCAGCACCTTGTTTTTTTAAATTATGCTTATTACTATCATGCATGTGTATACCAGACAGAATGTGGGAGCGCATATGCTATGTTGTGTGTGTGTAGAGGTCAAAGGAGAATGTTCAGATGGTTGGTTCTCCCCTTCTCACTGTGAGATCCAAGGATTGAGTTCAATCATCAGGCTTGTGCCTGACGAGCCATTTCTCTGATTCCTAATAAACATTTAGTGTTACACTCCCACTAGATGTGGTGGCACAATCCTTAATTCCAGCACTGTGAGACTGAGGCAGGCAACTGTCAGTTTGAGGTCATCTTTGTTTTCTGACTGAGCTCCTGGCTGGCTAGTCAGGGCTACACAACCAGACAGTGGTTTTTTTGTTTTGTTTTTGTTTTTTGGGTCTTTGTTTGTTTGTTAGTTGTTTGAAAGTGTATTCCCTTACCACCATAATTTAATAATAACACCATAATTTCAATTATTTGCAATGTGCTGAAGTCTGCTCACACAGTACATTCTTTACTGGTTAGCAGATTCTAAGTTGCTGTAACTCCACTTTCTGCCTTTCTCCTAACACCATAGGCATTCATTATCTCAACATATGGCCACTCCAAGTACCATTCCTCAACATCCATTACTAAAAACTGGCCTAAGCAACTGTCTGCAAGATGGAGGGAATAACAGCGAGCACCTCAAAGGGTCACTGTGAAGAACAGATGACTAGAAGCACGAGTGCCGGCCACTGCCTGTCCCACTGTAAGCACTCAATGAACATAGGCTTCTTTTTATTTTCCCCTTTTTCTAGACGGTGTTCCTCAATGTGCTCCTAGCTGGCCTGGAATTCACTCTGTACATCAGACTGGCCTCAGATTCACAGAGATCTGCCTGCCTGACTCCCAAGTGCTGGGATTAAAGGTGCACGATGCCACTGCCTGCACCTTTGTGACTTCTTACCACCTTGCAGAAAATGCTTGTTTGGCAGGTATTCAGATTATGAGATAATTAGCGCTATAATACTGAGAAACTTGATCTACGACTTATCTTCCATTCCCTAAATTCTCTGTATCCCAAGCCACTCTCAGTGTGTACTACTGTTGACTGAAAAGCCTAAAACAGGACTTGTAAAATTTGAATTACTAAGTAGCCTTTAAAGCAAGTCCCAGTTGAGAACTCACTTGCCCATCTCATATGAGGAGACTAGACAGCAAGATAGCACTCCAAGACTTCACAACAAGAGGAAGTTCTAATTTCCAAAATGAACTCCAGTCATTCTACCATTTTTTAAAACTTGTAGTCATGGATGTATACTAAGATTTCACTGTGACATTTCCATACACACAGATTTTGGTCACATCCAGTGACCCATGGCCTCCTCTTTTTTTTTTTTTTTTTTTTTTTTAAATTTTTTTTAACTTTTTTTTTTAAGATTTATTTATTTATTTATTATATGTAAGTACACTGTAGCTGTCTTCAGACACCCATATGAGGGCATCAGATCTAATTACAGATGGTTGTGAGCCACCATGTGGTTGCTGGGATTTGAACTCATGACCTCTAGAAGAGCAGTCAGTGCTCTTAACCGCTGAGCCGTCTCTCCAGCCCCGGCCTCCTCTTTTTTACCCTCTCCTTCCCTTTCCATACCTTTCCCCCCTTTTTACAGTGCTAGGAATTGAACACAAGGTCTTATTCCAAACACAGAGCGGTATCCTAGTCCCTGTATCTTTTTTGTGCCTCTCCATCTGTATGTGTGTCTGACAGTGTGTGCACAAGAGCACATGGGGGAGCAGTCTCTCCAGCCCCCTCAACCTTGTTTTAAGAACAATCAGAGATTCCAAAAGAGTGAATCTGCTATAAAGAGATTCCATGAGATAACCAAGGCTCACTACACCTGTATCATAACCCCAAACATACCTTCCTCTTGCCACCGCCCTGGCTCTTGTCTCGGTCTGTTTTTTCCTTCTCACCATCTTTCTGTGTGCTGTTTTCTTCATTTTGATCATGGTCTCCACTGTCATCATCTTTTAAGCTACATGGGAAAGCAAAATAATGTCATTCCATGACTAAACTATTCTAATAAAACCACAAGGTCATAAAACTACCATCTACGTAGCCCCAAGTCACTGGAATCTCAGGCCTATGAGGTGTGTCTGTGAGAAGGGCAAAGGGGAAAGCAAACCAGGAATATTAAATAAAAACTACTGAATTAGCTACCTCATGAACTCCAGCGAACAGTCTTTCAGTTTCCTGACAGCAGCATAACAAAGCAGTTAAAGAGCTGTTTTTTGTTGTCAAAAACAAACTGGTAATGAGAATTTCTGGACAAATAATCCCGCTGACATGTGAAAGTTAAACTTGCCTATCCGTATCTACTGCCATGCCTGCTCCTTCCACCTAGCTTCCTCTCCTAGCTGTCCTTCCTCCACACCTTACATCAGTATCCTTCTCTAGTCATCTAGTTCCTCATCAGTCTGTAGGAGGGTCTGACACCAGTCTCTCCTCTACACTTCCTAAATGTGAATCCGTTATTGAACCTGCGTCCTCGAGATGCTAACTTCCTATTTACCTATCCTCTAGAGTAACATACAACACAGAGTGCTTTTCACAAGACTTTAGAAATTGAGTCCTGTCCAGAGCCATACTCCTCTCCACCCCAACCACTCTTCCCACTGGCAAACACCTTGCTTCCAGCCCAAGGTGTCATTCCCCCCTGCCTGTTTCTTCTTCGAGACAGAGTTTCGTTAGAGCAGTATCATACCTCATCTCAGTATCACTGGCACCCAAAACAAGATGACACAAAATAAAGGTTAAATGAAAAGGAAAACAAAAGGAGGAGTGGATGTGCTGTCTCATAAGCAGAGTCAAAAGTGAAACCACCTAAGACCCACCAGATGCAGACACAAACACCCAGCTTGGTGCACAAAGAGTGCACATCTGCTCAATCTGCTAAGGTGGCTCAGTGGGTAAACTCGCCAGGCTTGTAGCCCGAGTTCAATCCCTGAAACTTACATACTGGAATGAGAACCTACTCCTGCAAAGTTGTCCTCTGACCTCTATACTCTATGCACATACTTTAAAAAAAAAAAAAAAAAAAAAGATGAGGGAGACAGCAGAATGGCAATTCACTCTAGAATTAGACCATTCACCACAGGTTTTCTCCAGAATCATCTTTTGGGTTCTATGATGGTATGTACAGAAAAATGGAATCAGGCATGTTCAAGATAGGCCTCAGCAACACCTCAGCTGTACTTCAGACATCATCCTACACAGACATACAATTATGGTGTAGAACAGTTTCTATTTTAGAAAGTGGTGGTGGATAGCCGGGCAGTGGTGCCGCACGCCTTTAATCCCAGCACTCAGGAGGCAGAGGCAGGCGGATTTCTGAGTTTGAGGCCAGCCTGGTCTACAGAGCGAGTTCCAGGACAGCCAGGGCTACACAGAGAAACCCTGTCTCAAAAAACAAAACAAAACAAAACAAAACAAAACAAAACAAAACAAAACAAAACAAAACAAAACAGAGAGAGAGAGAGAGAGAGAGAGAGAGAGAGAGAGAGAGAGAGAGTAGTGTTTGTTGTTTGAGTTTTGTCTGCTAATCTTTAATACCTAATATAATAGGATGAATAAGCTAGTCATGTATTGGGGTACCTGTTCTGCCTAATCGGTAGCCATATTGTAGGAGATACTCATGTGGTCATTCCCTGTGATGTAGACCTCCCTACCTCCACCCTGGTCAAGACCCAACTAGGTAAGGCATAAGAGCAAAGGGCAGTCTGGTCTGCCTAGTAACCTAGGCCTCAGAACTTTTTTCAAAATAAAGATTCCTCTCCCTACATTGATTTCATCCAAGAGAGCAAAGACCAAGGATTCAGAAGCTGGACCAGCTTTAGGGTCCATGAAAGAATCAAGACTCGGAGCAAAAGGGACAGGCAGTCCAGAGAGAGAAAGGAGTTGGAACTGATGAGCAGAGCAAGTGGAGAGAGGTGTGCAGATACTGCCATCTGTCTGCTTCTTAGAGGCATCACCAGTGCTTAGTAAACTTCTTGGTTAAACTTGCTTTGCTTAGTTTCCTTTTCAAATCGTGCCTGCCTTGGAGATAAGACCCATGGATTAAATATTACCAACATTTACCAAGCAGCTCACTGGCTACCAGAAGACCTGTCCTCAAAGAACTGAGGAGAGATAAAGTATACAAAGCCTCAACTTGGTGCAAAGGGCCATTCTGTGTACACGTCCCCAAACATCTCCTGCCTGTTCCCAATGAACCCCTTCCACTCCAGCTATGTCCACCTAAATGTAGTTCCCCATCTTTGTCCACATCTACCATGTTCAGCATGTACTCACGCCTCCACTCCTGGTTTACTGCTTTTCAGGATTCACTTTCCCTTGGAAACATCCCCTACTCTCTCCCAATGTAGGCTAAACCAAACTCTCCTCTTCTGCTCTGTCCTGGTTGTACTCTCAAGGCCAATTTTCATCATGAATATCTCCTGGATTTTTCTACTGCTTTAGCCCCAAACAACTCTCTTCTGTAGAGCACATCCTCTAGGGATACAGCCCTTTTGTCTTCTCTTTGGCTCCTAATCCCTACTACAGCCTCTGAGGTCACTTTATTAGATTTTGGTTGAAGAAGGACAGTCATGTAGGACTTTCCATTTTTGCCAACCTCAAGAAAAGTATTATATTCCTTTCTTTCCTAGTGGTTTTCTTTCGGTTACTACTAGGAAACAAAAAGAAAACAAAAATAGTTAAGGTAGAGAAGAAACAATGCTATTATCATTCTGAAGCCATCTTACACTCCTTTCTAAGCCAGCAAATAGGAGCTTCAATGAACTTCATTTTTATCTTTATGCTCTGGCCTTTATTTTAGTTTTGGCTGTGCTGGTAATAAAACCCAGCACCTCCTTCACAGAAGGCAAGGACTCTACCAATGAACATTTCCCCCCCCCCCCCAATCTCTTGTTTTATGAAAAGGGGTCTCTGTCTCTCTATGTAGCCCTGGCTACACAGAGAGCCCTGGAACTATGTATACCAGGCTGGCACTGAACTCAAGAGATCCATCCACCTGTCTCTGCTTCCTGGGATTTTAAGGGTGTGTACCACTAAACCTAGCCTGCTTTAGTCTGCTCTCTGCACATCTATCTAAGGCAAAGGGTATACAACCTGCTCCTCCTCCTCCTCCTCTTCTTCTTCTTCTTCTTCCTCTTCTTCTTTATTTTTGGTTTTTCAAGACAGGGTTTCTCTTTATAGCCTGGGTTGTCCTGGAACTCACTCTGTAGACCAGGCTGGCCTTGAACTCAGAAATCCGTCTGCCTCTGCCTCCCAAGTACTGGGATTAAAGGCGTGTGTCACCACTGCCTGGCCTACAACCTGCTTTTCAGAAGCTGTTCTTCTCAGCTTAAAAGCTGGATTTGAGCCAAGGTACAGTTCACACTGAAGCAGTAGCACTCCACAGACTAAACTACTCAATTCATATTCAGAATAAGTGACACTTGGGTTAGCTCTCCAAACTTCTGTCCAGCTTCTTCCCAACACCGTCTGAACTAGGAAAATTCTGTGTAGGGAGGAACTTTATCTAATTTTCCACTGCTATCTTTAGCATCAGGCACGAACATAAAACAAACATGTCTAATGGATGGATCTCCAAATAGCAAATTAGGTGGTTTAGAAACACTTAAAAATAGGCCAAAAGCTAATGACAGAAAGGAACCCATATAAAATACAGACCAAATCAAGCCTGGCATCCCAAAACCCAGAACCTGAAAACCAAGTTTATCATAGTTGGGACTATACTTCTTGAGAGGGCATCTTAGGGTTTCACATGTTAATAACATGAAAGACAATGAAACCCTGCCTCTTGGTGAGTCTAATGACCATCCTTTAAAGCTATTAGCAGCTTTGGTTACACTCAGAGGCAGAGCCCACATATTAAAGGAGGTTAGAGGGCCCCTTTAATCTGTGTCCATCAGACTGTACTACTGCACTTACTGGAGACTGAACTTTGAGAATGATTCTGGAAAATTCTGGGGAGATGTGATAAAGAGTACAGACTCCAAATATGGAGCAACATTCTACAAACTGCAGGGTTTTCACAAGAAAATCTGAAATGACAAAACCAAAACCAGGGATAAGGGTACCATCTTTAATTGCTAACTTTAAGTAAAAGCAAGCTTTTATTTTTGTCCTTTTCTGCAAAGTTAGAAGGCAGGCAGGGCTGGAGAGATGGTTCAATGGTTAAGAGCACTGAGTGTTCTTCCAAAGGTGCTGAGTTCAATTCCCAGCAACCACATGGTGGCTCACAACCATCTGTAATGAGATCTGATGGCCTCTTCTGATGTGTCTGAAGACAGCGACAGCGTGCTCATATACATTAAATAATTAAAAAATTTTTTAAAAGGCAGGCATTAAAAGACCCTACTCCTTACAACAGCTCATAGTTATAATTAAAACCACCCAGCAAAATGTTGATAAAAACACTTGAACAAAGTAGAAGAGTGAGCCTGAGTTGGCCCTTTAGGCTATCTTGCACTGGTTACTCAACCTTGAAAGGCCTCATTTTCCTTAACCATCAGAAAACATGCCAAGATCTCTTTTGCAGAGTTCTTAGGAAGAAGCTAGTGCGAAATAGAGAGGAATATAATACATACAATGGGGACATGGACGTGAGGAACAACTAGAAGAAAGGAAACCAGATAGAGGAGAGGGGTCACAGGGGAGTCCAGTGAGGAGAACAAAGTAATGACACGTGAGTATCAAAGTGTCCTAAAGGAACCTGTTACTTTCTATGATAACCCAAAACCTTGGGAAAAAAAATCCAGTGATGCCTCTACGGTAGATAACCACCATAGGCTCATACATTTGAATGCTTAGTCACCAGGGAGTAGAACTGTTTGAAAGAATTACAAAGATTAGGAGGTGTGTGGCCTTGTTTTTTTAAAAAAAAAAAAAAAAACTTGTCATAAGAGTTGTCTTGGAGCCGGGCGGTGGTGGCGCACGCCTTTGATCCCAGCACTTGGGAGGCAGAGGCAGGTGGATTTCTGAGTTCGAGGCCAGCCTGGTCTACAGAATGAGTTCCAGGACAGCCAGGGATACACAGAGAAACCCTGTCTCAAAAAAAAACAAAAAAAGAGTTGTCTTGGTCATGGCATCTCTTCACAGGAACAAAACAGTGGCCAATATAACCATCTTTACTTAAGACAGGTGACCTAAAAACTATCTTAGGATGCAGTTTAATTTGTTCCAATAGGAGAGGAAGGGTGGAAGGGCTGCAGATATGGAGCTAGGTATGGCAGGGGTTATGACAGGAAACCAAGGGGTCACTATCCTGCCTGGCTCAGCTAAGCAGAAAGATGGAGAAGACATCAGGTTTTTTCTCAAGAAGCAGAGCTCACTTGGCCACCAGAAAAACCTAAGGAAGGGCTGGCTTGACTGCTGGAGTCCCCATCCCAATACTTCCCGGAACTCACATCAGAACTCACTGTACTGAAAATCTGCAGCTTCACCCCCTATCAGTGGGTCCACTTTCCCTTCACAGCTCACTTGCAGCATTTTACACAGTACCTCTAAGTATTGTGGAGCTTGACCTGGTCCTTCCAGTTCTAACCACTAGGGAGGTGAGAGCAATAGCTCAGACTGGAGAACTTTTGTACAGTCAAACAGCTGATGGTCCGAGAACTAAAAATGTAGGTCTTTGAATGAGAAGACAGATTAGATCACTATAAACTATAGAGAGGAAGGAGCACTACAATCTACCCAAGGATATAATTCTTGTGAAATACTAACTTAAGTGCTGCTAGATGAAAACGAAAATTACTTTTAAATGCTAAGAGATCTAATCGTTAAGAGGGGGATGCCCCCCCAACCCCCGCCACCACCAACACACATTTCTTCTCTGTACTTCCCAACTGTTCGGTGCTGGAATTGGAGATGAGAGTGGGTACTTGGAAAGAATGCAGGAGTGAGCAGCCACTAAGAGTTGGAAGACAGGAACGGGGTCGGGGGTGGAGGGTGGGAGGATGACGGGGAAGGAAGCAGGAAGAATCTCAGATGAAAAGCATTCCGTACTCGAGAGGCCAAAGTACTCATCGCGGCTGCCCCATTACCTCATCGCAGCTGCCCAACTCTACGACACGGGCTCTGTTACTGTCCCCGCTTGCAGAAGACAAAACCGAGGTTCGGAAGGGAGAGGTGACCTTCCCAGGACGCAGAGCGAGTGCGGGAGGGAAGCCGCGTTCAGAGAGAAGGCAGCAAGGCTGCGGAAACACCCGAAGCGCTGAGGTCCCGCCCCTCCACGCCGCCGGCAGCCAGCACCCACCAGGGCGGGGCGTCCGAAAATCTCCTTCCGGGCGGCGCGGCCTCCCCTCCCCGGCCCGTGCCGCGCCGGGGTCCAGCGGCTCAGGGGTCCCGGCGACCTCGGCTGCGCTCTCCCGGCCCTGTCGGGCCCGCGGGCGCAGGAAGGCTCGGGCCGCAGCGGCCCGGGAGCGAGCGGCTCGGCTGAATGCGCGCCCGGCCCCGGCGGGAGCGGTCCCGGGGGACGGTTGGGGGAAGGGGCCCCGGGGGCGGCCACGCGCCACTCACGCGTCGAACTTGTTGTTCATCCTCTCGCCGCCGCTGTCGCCACTGCCTCACGGAGCGACTTCCGCTTTGCTGGGTCCCATCGCTAAGGGCCCGGCTACTTCCGGTTGGCGAGGCGCTCAGTGGAACGTCAGAGCTCAGGCCTTGGGCGGGGCCTCTTTCCCTGCCGGGTGGCCCAGAGCGACAACGCTACTCGAGACAACTGTCTTGGTCTGGCCACTTGCACTGAGCATTGTCTACGCAGCCGGCCATCCGCTTTAACCTCCCGGTGGATTCCAGGGAAAAGGTCAGGCACAGTAATGTAAATGAGAATTGATCCTTTGCTCTTGGTGTTTGGAGAGGACGAGAAAGTACTCCAAACACATTTGTAGTTCTGGCTCTTGGGAAATGGAGGCAGGAAGATCCAGACTAGCCTGACCAACATAGTGAGATAGAGGCCAGCCTGGGATACATAAGACCTTCCCTATATATTGGGTGAAGTGGGGGGGAAAAGTCGAACCAGGGTGACGAACTTACTGAGGACCAAGATGGTCTCAGTCATTGTTACCTCCTCTACTGAAGTCATTGTCCCCACACTCCTGAAGACTGTCCAAAACACATTACATACACAGGAAAAAATAAATTCCCTAGTTGGTGATGTAACTGCAGAGCCACGAGTCGCACATTTTCCTGACCCATCTGCTGAGTATGTCCATCGTTAGATGTGGGGTAGCAATTGATGTTTGTGCCTGTATTTACAAGTGAGACAAGTATCCCAGGACTGGCCCATGGTTGCCTCCTGATAACTCAGCAAGGCCTTGCTTTTTCTCCTCAGGAAGACCTCAGGTGATCATCCTGTTTCGTAACATGTACTAAGGGAGGCTGAGAGAGAGAGAGAGCTCTCCTGTCAGACCCAGTCCAGTGGCTTTGGTCCTAGCACTGCAAGTACTCTGCCTTTTGAGAAGAGAGAGGAAGAAAGGTGTATTTGCAGGGCTGAGAGTCTTACAGTGTCTGAGATTGGGTCAAAGATAGAATTTTGGACCCTATAAAGGAGTAGTCTACAGAGTTTCTCGTACTCGGGACCCCAGCTTGCTCATGTGAAATGTGGGTCAGGTAAATAGTGCCTCTTGCCCATCCATAACGTGAAGAATTTCTAACAATGGTGGGGGGGGCAGATGGTAAAACTCAAGAAAGCCTTCGTGATCAATGGTAGTGGGGGGAGTACTACATCAGTGGGAAGGTACTACTGAAAGTACATATGTCTGCCGTGGCATGTGGAAAAGACGTGCTAGTTAAAATGGGTTATACTTTTTAAGTTCTAGACCTCAAAAAAGGCAAGACTCTCTACACTTATATCCCACACCCCTAGCTCCTAGTACTTTTTTTTTAGAGGTTTATTTTCATTTTGTATATATGGGTGTTCTGCCTTGCATATGTCTGCACTGTATGCATGGGTGTTTTGCAAAGCCGGAGGAGGGTGTTGGATCACTTGCAACTGGAGTAACAAATGGTTATGAGGTGCCATGTAGGTGCTGGAGACCAAACCGAGATCCCCCGGGAAAGTATTCAGTGTTCCTAACCACTGAGATATCTCCACCCCCACCCCCCATCCTTTTTTGAGACAAGATCTCACTATGTGTATGGACCTCAAGCTTACAGAGATGGATTTGTCTCTTCCTCTCTAGTGCTAGGATTAAAGGCGTGCTCCATGACATCCAGCTCACGTTCTATTCTTTTAAGAGAGGTCCCCACATCTCTTAACAACCTTTTAGAGAAAGTTCACGAAAGGGAAGATGCTGGAGCTGGAATAAGAGCACCTGCTGCTCTTACAGAGAATGTGAGCAACCCACTGTCTGGTTGTTCATGACCACCTAGAACTCCCAACTCTAGGTTCCGACATCCTCTGCCAGCCTCCAACAGGCACGCTCACTCACGTACACATAGCCCATTCCTCATACACACATGCATGCATATATACATACATACATACATACATACAGTTAAAAATAATAAAAATAAATCTTACAAAAAAGACAGGAGGAAACGTTTTCAGGCCTCAAAGGGTAAAACCTTGCCCAGTCAATGACATTATGAAAAGCAGAATCCTTAGGGCTTCAAAGTGACTTACAGAAATGCTCAAAGTTATATGACCACACCCACCACCAACCACTCTCTCCTTATTTCTCTAGCTTCTCCCACAAATGCTTGGATACTTCCCCAGGAGTACACTCAGGATCCGCACAGCTCCATAAACAGCATAACCCACATAGCTGACTCCAGAGCCCAGGAAGGACTGCTTGGCTCAGTCTGGCAAAGGCAGGTAGGGGCGAGGGTCTCCGGGGAATGGCAGGTCAGGCACCTGGTTGTAGTGGGCCATGAGGAAGATGCCAGCAGTGCCACAGATGAAGAGGGATAGCATGGCTAGGAAACAGACGCGGTCCAGCACTCGGCCCACCAGCAACCACTCTTCATTCCCCTGAGGGCAACAACACATTGTGCGGCAGTTATGTGACCAGAGAGAGCAGCCAGCCTGGCTCCCTCTTTCACTGTTAGATCCCCAGCTGGCCTCTATTCTCTATTCTCCCTTCTCGACTCTGTCTAGGTACCAACTTGTCTTTTTTTTTTTTTTTTGGATTTTTGAGACCAACCTGTCTTCTTTTATGGTCTCTGACCTGTTGGTCCTTCCTCCTCCCACTTCCCACTTCTGCTTTGTCTATCACGGAACCTAAGCCGAACACCCACCCCATCCATCCTGTTCCCACATTACACTTGGGTACTTGCCCACCCTGTCCTGCTTACACTGTCAAAGTGACTCTGCTGGTGTCGGGCACGAGCCATGAGGTTACAGGCATCCACACAGGCCTGGATGGCTGGGGAGGCTTGCTTTAGGCTACCACAGAACTCCTGGCTCTGCCTCATTTCTGGACCATTCTCTGATGGGGAAATAGAGTCAGTGGAAGAGACCAGACTGAGATGTGTCTTCCTCCCAGAGACCCGGGCCTTCTCCAACTTGAACACTCGCTCAGCTGCATTCACTGGTCAGGATTGACCCTTTGGGCCTCACCTAGCTTCTCCAGTACTGCTTGCACTAATCCATTGCGCTGCCTTTGCCTAAAGAGGAGTTCACTTCGAGGCAGACAGAGGTCCCCTTCCTCTCGAGTTGTGATGGGCCATCCTGAGGAAGAGCCATTCTGGAGGCGCAACCGGGCATCCTGGACAGCAGCAGGAGCCAGTGGGCGCACATGCATCCGTAACAGCTGGGGCAGGAGCCTCAGGAACACCTGTAGAGGGGTTGCTGTGATAGGTCCTACTTGGGCAGCCAGGCCAAGCTTGGGAATGGGCATGAAGGCAGTGTCTTAGGGGAGAAACTGGGTCCTGGTACAGCTTGACTACTTTCTCTTGGACACAGAACCTGGGCTCCAAGCTTTCAAGACCTTCAAAATCTCCAGAACACTTATTTCAGACAGACTCTTAACCTTTACCCCTTGCTAGAATAGTCTAGACTACCTGGAACATACCTAGGGGATCTACGTTTGTAATGTGATTCTCAGCTGACCACTGCAGGTGGGCTGCAGAACACACAGACAGCTGGGACAGAATCCTCCCTTTTCTGAATTTTGAGAACTGAGTAATACTGGATAACCTGCCTAACCTTTTTGTGTCTCTGTTTTCCTCTGTTAAGTGGAGATGATACACCTATACCCACTTAAGCATTTTTACGCAAAGTAAATAAGTTATCCGTGTACTATCCATGTCCCTGGGCACTGATGTTATCATTTGTCTACTAGGCCTGAAGATACATTTGGTGTGGATTTGCAGCTGAATTTGAGAATAGGGCAGGAATGTGGAGGGAGTCACAAGTGGTTGGGAAGGACAGACGGATGCCCAAGTGGGCAGAGCAGTATCTTGCCTTGCGGACCCCTCGGGCCATGGAGTGTGTGTGTGGGGACCGCAAGGACACATTGAGCACAACCACAGAGTTGACGACGATGAGGATGGTCACCACCATGAGGAAGGTCAGGTACCTGTCCAGGGTTAGACAAGCAGGAGGCTGAATGTCCCGTAGGCACTTCAGTCCCAGGAGCCACCCACCCTGCTTCCCTTGGGTTCCTGCGTGGAAGGAGGGTCAATGTCAAAAGCCTCAGAAGGGAAAGGGTGTGTTGGGGATTTAGCCCACTGGCAGAACCCTTGCTAAGCAAGGCCATGGACTTAACCAAGATGGCGAGGGGTGGGAAGCAGATGTGAGATCCAGCCTTACTTGCTGATGAGCGGCACAGCCTGGGAGGTCTCAGGCACCTTCTTAGCCACGAGGAAAAGGAAGACAGTCTGGGCCAGGAGCACGTTGGTGGCCACTGTGCATTTCTGGCCGCCCGCTGCCCATGACCAAGATGCCCTCAGAACAGGTTCCCCACCCCACCCTACCCCACCTCTGCCCCTCCACATACACACACCCTGAGGGACCCCCTTATCCTACAGGGAGCCCACTGCCCTTGTCCTAAGATCTTGGTGCCCTGTGCCATGAGCAGGGCCTGCCCTGGCCTCCCCGTGAGCCTCTGTGCTGCTGCTCTCCCACAGGCCCAGGTACCCTTGGCAGGGAGGAAGTAGATGAGGATGGCAACTGAGGAGATGAGCACACAGGGGGCGATGATGTTGATGACGTAGAACAGGGGCTTGCGCTGGATGAGCAGGTAGAACACCACCTTCTGGTGGCCTGCCTCCTCTGCTGGAGCCACAGAGTCCAGTAGCATTTTGGCTGGTCGGTGCCGGATGGCCCATTCCCCATTCTCTGTGGGGAGCACAGGGGATGTGACCCTCACAAATGTGTGGGCTGAACAAGTCACAGGGCAGCGTGATATTAAGTATCAGGATACAGGGACACAAGTGGGGTGGGAATATTGAATATTGAATATTCAAAATTGAATATTGATCCCCCTCCCAAAATTAGAAGTATTGTAGGAAGAGTCAGAACTTCACTGGATCCTTTTCTGTGGTATATGTTTGCGTGCATATGTACGCACACATGTATGCATATACTCACATGTGTGTGTGTGTTTGTATATGTACAGACATGGAAGCCAGAAGTCAACACCAAGTGTCTTCCTTGGATACTCTTCACACGCTTTTATGCTGAGGCAGGGTCTATCACTTGAACCTAGAGCTTTGCCCTGGGAATCCTTTGTTTCTATCTGCCTTGTGATGGGATTACAAGCAGGCTGCCATTTCTAGCCAGCATTTAGGTGAACTCTGGGGATTCCATTCTGGTCTTTATGTATGTGCAGTAAGTGCTTTATCCCATGGGGCCATCTTCCCAGCCCTCTTGTACTTTTCTTTAAAGACAGTCTCATTGTGTAGCCCAGGCTAGCCTCAAACTTTCAAACCTCCAGAGGGCTGGGATCACATATGTGTGTCATCATGTCTGGATTTCTGTTGGGATCTTTTGAAAGCCATATTCTATGATACACTGTAGTTTTCACATATTGGGGTACGGCATAGCCTTGATTGGGCAGAGGCTCCCAGCTAGGGTTACCTGTGAAAGCCTCGGGGTCAATGAAGATCCACTCAATGGCTTGCCCATCTTCCTGGCTCAGCTGCAAGTTGATCTCACTCGTGCTATAAGTCTGGGACCTGTGGGTCAGGAGTGGGAAGAGGGTGAGAGAAGCAAGGGGACCAGCCTGCGAGGCCATAGGAACAGTTGTCTGACAGCAGCAGTGGGCATTGGGATTTGACATATGCTCTTAAATTCTCCAACAAGCCCTGATGTTAGCTAGCATGCAGGGCCAGGGGAACACAGGCTCTTTGGGGGCTCAGTGGTACTGCCTGGTCAAAGAGTTCAGAGCCACCTCGACTCTCCTACTCCTACCAAAAACTATAGGGTAGAAATACAAGCCTACTGTAAGAGGATACTTGGGGTCCTGCCAGCTTCTCCCAAGGCCTCCCTTCACTGCTTATGCATGAGGAAACTGAGACGTAGAGGTGCCAGGTTTGGCTCAGGTCACATACTGGCTTTGGCCAGATTTCTCTTTTCCAGGACAGCCTGCCTGTCTATGGCTCTATGTGTATGCAGGCGTACCCGTATGTTCTTACCCACATACTCAAGACATTGGTGTCTCCCCTTGGGACCCAGGCAGGAAGCTGGAGCAATGGAGGATAGGTGAGAGGACTTAGCAGGAGGCTCAAGTGTCACCATCTAAATAGGCGCAGGTGATAGATCCAGGCCACCCAACCTTGACGAGCTTCTGATCCTGGTCTCCCACCTCTACCCAGACCCATCCTAGAGCAGCTAGCTCCCTGAAGTCCCCCAACATCACCAGCGGTCTCACTGGAAGACAAGGGAGCAGTTCTGCCAATCGAAGGGGAAGTAGGTGACAGAGATGGAGCAGGAGGAACGGAAGATGGCAGGCGGCAGCCAGTAGATACAACCGTCAGGGGACACGAGCACGTTGCAGTAGAGCGCCACCTCGAAGACTCCGTCCACACTGTGTGCATAGGCCAGTGTACTGAGCCAGGGGAAGAGATTCCCACAGCCCCAGACTAGCTCTCAGCTTTGCATGGATGGGCTCTGAGGGCATTAGTCCCCCTGCCTGCCACACTCCTGATGGTTTAGCGTCTAACCTCACTCATGCACCACCCCAGCAACCTCCAGCTCATCTCTTCTCTGGACCTCAGATGAGTACAGAGGTCTGGGGGAGACAGCACCCCAACAACCACCTCATAATCTCTGTTTCCCTTTCTCTGCGTTAATAACTACAATGATGCCAAAATAGCTAACATTATTAAGCTCTTTTGGAGTGGCCGACCCTGAGTGAACCAGTTTTGTGTCTGACCTCTAATTGTTTCTCTAGTTGTTAAAATTGGCTGCAGCTTACAGGGACGGGAAAAGCCTGCCACCACCACCCCTCTCCCTAGGTGGCTAGCATGTTACAACCCTGGGCCAGTGTCTGTGCTTGAGGTCCCGCCTCAGCCTGGCACCCTACAGCACCCTGCTCTCTTCTTTCTCTAACTCTCCTCATTCTGCTGGACCCTGGTATCCTTCCTCTCCTGCCCACCCCCCTCCTCACTTGTTCTCCAGCACGATGTCTGGCCGCCACACCATGGTAGATGGCACCCTCAATATCCACAAGCCTTCATAGTCTTTTGGGTCCCAGCGCAGGCGATAGTCACACCATTGCTGTGGATGAAGAGGAAGTTGCCCGGCCTCTGCTCTGGGCTACACAAGGCTAGAGAATGGCAGGCCACCAGAGAGGGCCCAAGAGGTTGAGGGGGGTGGGTGGGGCAACCGCAATAAGCATAATAAGATGGCGTCTTACCATTTCTATCCAGACGTTAGTCGTGAGGGCCTCCTCTCTCTCGTTCTGGGGTACAGAAGAGAGTTAGGCTAACCCCCCTATATCTTCCTCCCTGAAGTTCCGATGTCTCCACCAGACACTGATAGAACCAGGAGGCTGTCAGTCTCACCCTTCACCCTGGCCTCCCCACTTTAGGCCCCTCTGCTGTTCTGAGTGCTAGGGTCAGATCCCATTTCCCCAGCAAGTCTGGGGGCCTGTGTGATACCCACCATCCCCCCACCACCACCCCCTCCGCGGCCCTGCAGCTCACCAGGGAGATGAGGTTGGTCAAGGTAAGCTTCAGGCTGACATTGACCACATCTGAGTCACGCTCAGCCGGCCGCAGATGGGGGTCGTAGTTTCGCATCAGGTCCGCAAGCAGACGCTCCTCTTGGTTGCGACTCTGGACCCCTGCAATAGACAAGGACACTCATTCCAGAGCAGAGGGAGGCAGAGGGGGGGTGGGGTTGCTGGGGCTAGGGAGAACACACATAACCCCCAGACCCTCCATCCACTGTAGCCTTGTACTCCTGATCTGTTCCTTCTATACACCCCCACCCCAGGTCTCAAATCCTTAGTATTTCACCCAGGCAAATAGCCAGCAGCAGGAAGAGGAGCTGAGGTCCCTGACTCCCGTGCATGGTGCCTCAGTTCTGCCCAGTGATGAGTAGGACAGTAGCTCTACAGGTCTGGAGGGGTTGGAGAGGGTGGGCTGGAGTATCATGTGTCAGCCTATACTCCCCTCCCAGTAAACCCTGCCAGTTCTAGCTGGCCCCACCAGCTGTCTGACCACTGCATTGTCAGCTGTTCCCAGGATATGTACAATTCTGGGCTCAGATTACATGGGCCAGCCAGGGGAAGAAAGATGGAATAGTCCCATCAGAGACAAGACACTCTCAAACTTAGTCGCTTCGGTTCTACACCTATTTTTCCAGCTGGGAGACTCAGCAAATGACCAAGGACAGATGGATGGGTGTGGGGGCAGCAGTGGTGCTGAGGAGGATGGTGGTGACCAATCAGGAACCTTCATTCTGTACCAGGGAGGTGTAATTTACACATGAGAATCTCTGTAACTGTGCCTTAGTACCTCAACCCTCTGCCACTTGTCTAGTGCCTCTGTAGTCACTCCAGTGGACTGAGACACAGGAAGGAAGCACCTACAGGGTGTCTAACTGTTGACAGTGTCGTATCCTGTTTTCATTTACAAGTGGGTAGGGCTGCATCTTGGGAGGCCTGTGACCCATAGGCTACAGGTTGAAGATAGCTGTATGTGTAAAGACACATATGTATGGTATTGACGATCAGGGGACCACGGCAGCTTCTCCTGTGCCTGAAACAGGGGACACAGACTTACTAAGCTTTAGAAGGGCTGAGAAGAGTCGGGGGGGGTTGTTGCTGGGGCTAGGGAAAACACAGATAACCCCCAGACCCCAAGATGTGTGTGTGTGGGGGCGGTTCTTGTCACTAGGCCAGCTATGAATGGTGGCTTGTCAGTATGGCTGCAGTTCATAAAATCATCAGACAGATAACAGCAGGTCCTGTGCAAAGCTGGGGAGACTCAGGGATGCACCAAGCTGCTTAGGAGGACTCATGGTCCACTGAGGCAGACAGGCCAGACTTGAGGATGTGTCACCTAGAGCCAGAGAAGGAGAACCACAGGAGAAGGAAGCCCATCTACTTCTAGGCTTGTTCCCATCAAAGGGTGGGGTTGAGGCTGATCTGGGAGCAGTGACTTGCTGCTGGCTATGTCAATACTTGGGCCACCTGTCATGTGGTCAACTATTTCAAACATTCTGGCCAGTGTATGTCAGTATGTGGCTCCTAAGTGCTATCACATGGGCAGCTGCACCAGGCTGGGTAGGGCACTGGACACCTCTGAATGCCTAGGAGAATATCCTCAGCCCTATCAGATCTCTATGGCATTGCAATGTGTTTCAGAAACAGGAAGTCAGGCTCAGAACCCGACCCTCCCAGACAGGCCTCAAGTCCTTCATGTCCCACCAGGACTCTTAAGAGTGGGGGCAGGGAGAGACTGGCCTTGAACTCAGGGGTCCTCCTGCCTCTGCTTCCCAAGTGTCTCTGACTCCCATCCTGCCTGGTTTTGCCAAAGGTCAGCAAAGGTCTCTACAGTCAGGAAGTGATGTGAGCAATGGCTGTCTGCATTCCTCTAGCCCTGTCCACCCTTTCCTCGCCTCAAGAGTCTGGAAGAGAAGAGAAAGTGTGTTACACTGCTTTCCCCTCCTGGCATATATTCCTCCCTACATGTGAAGATGGACATTCTCCTCGGTGCTCTGGGAGAGAGGTCTGGGAGCTGGCTTGGCATTCTCTGCAGGGCAAGTCCCTTAGGAGGGATGGAGTCTCCTGGGAAAGTCCAGTTTGAAGAGGAAAAATCAATGAAGAAAAAAGCATATGTATGGGTCTCTCTTTGTTCCAGCTGCTTCTTTCTTGCCACTGCCTGTCACAAAGGTCGGAAGAGCTAACCAGTGACCCCTCCTCAGCATCCATGGGGAGTCAGTTCATAATGCAGCGCTGGTGCTATAGAAATGGTTCTCGTGCTTTATTGGTCAACGAATAATAACAAGAAGTCTATCTGTACAGTCTGGGCACAGATTTTTCATCCACACATTTTTGGTCTGTGGCTGGCTCAGTCCACAGATCTCAGACTTACAGATACGCCTCACCTCTCATTGATGAAATCATTGCATGACTACAGTGATTCACAAAGGAGCCTCGCCAGTTGTTGCTGTTTTCTTCTTTGATTATTGCCAACTTGACCCAAGCTAGCATTATCTTGGAAGAGGAACCTCAGTTAAGAAAATGCCTCCAACCAGATTACCTGTTGGCAATTGTCTGTAGGGCATTTTCTTGATAAGTGACTGATATGAGTGAGCCCAGCTCATAGAGGACAATGCCAGCCCTGGGTAGGTGATTCTGAAGACAACAAGCTGAGCAAGCCATGAACAAGTGACCCAGAAGAAGCATTCCTCCATGGGCTCTGCTTCAGGTCCTGCCCAAGGTTTCTGCCTGGGGTTCCTGGCCTGAGTTCCCTCTATGATGGATGGATTCTAACTATAAGCTGAAATAAAACCTTTCCTCACCGGGCTGCTTTGGTCAATGGTGTTTGAGCACAGCAACAGAAACCCTAAGACAAGGTGCTTCAGGGGTTCATGGAAAGTTGGGGATTTTGTTTTTTTAAACTTTATATTATTAGCTAGGAGTGGAGGCCCACACCTTTAATCCCAGCATCCTGAAGGCAGAGCCAGGCAAATCTGGCCTACCAAGACAGCCAGGGCTGTTACATAGAGAAATTCTGTCTCAAAAAGTTTATATTATTATTGTGTGATTATGTGTATGAGGGACCTCCACATATCATGGTGTGTGTGTGTGTGTGTGTGTGTGTGTGTGTATTTCAGAGAGAAACACTGGAGGAAGTTCAAGGTAGGGTTTCTCTGTGTAGCCCTGGCTGTCCTGGAACTCACCCTGTAGACCAGGCTGGGCTTGAACTCGGAGATCTGTTTGCTTCTGCCTCCCAAGTGCTAGAATTAAAGGCATGTGCCACTGCACCCGGCCCAGAGAGCAACACTTTAGAATGTGTTCTCTCCTACTTTTATGTGGGGTTGGAGGATCAAACTTGGATTGTCGGGTTTCATGGCAAAAGCTTTTTGCTCACTGAGCTATCTCACTTGCCCCAACCCCATTTTTTCAAAGTCTACTTTCTTGCAATTAATTAATAAGTTAATTTTTGGACACACAGTCTTGGGTAGCCCAGGCTGGCCAAGAAAAAGCCAGATGTGGCTAAGGAACAAGTTGAGCTCCTAGGTCTCGTGCCTGTACCCTCTCAACTGCTGAAATCACCAGCTGGATTTTACATGGTGGTGCTAGAGACCAAACCCGGGGCTTTGTGCAGACTAGACAGTTGCTCCACTAACTGAACTTGTGGAAAAGCTTTGCTTCATGATAAAAGGGGTAATAAATGGTAGGCTTTTCTACTAGAATATAGATGTAAAGTACCGAACTGTGGCAGCCAGCTGCCAACTTGAGCCAGGCAACAGGAGTAACACTGCCTATAAGATTTGGGAGTCAGTTTCCTTTGATATTCTCTTCTCTCTCTCTCTCTCTCTCTCTCTCTCTCTCTCTCTCTCTCTCTCTCTCTCTCTCTCTCTCTCTCTCTCTCTCTCTCTCTCTCCAACTGAGCCAGTGCAACATCCATCACCATCTCTAACTTCTTACTCTGTGGGAGACAGGACATCTCCTTGCTTAAGCTGTGGCTAGGGCTCATCGCGTGTCCTCCCTGAAGCCCAGTCCACTCGGACTAGTGTGCTATGCATTGAGAAGATGGGCAGCTCTGCTGGACTGGGGAGTATGGGTTACCCTATTGGGATGCTGCTTGTGAATGTGACATCCGAGGCCAAAAGGAGATGGAGCTCCGAGTCTACCATAGAGGACCAGTCCTGTCAGCACCCTTGATGCTGATGAGCTGAGCAAAAGGCACTCTTGGTTGGGTGTGGCATTTGGGGGTTGTCACCTCTGGAGAGTCCACAGTCTCCTCAACTGGGACAAGGAGGGACCTGCTGCCAGCCACAGTACCATGTGACAGGATTCTGGGACTGCCTGAGTGGCAGAGAGAAGCAGCTAGCTATGGCAGATGAAGACCAGCTCTTGTGTATAGGGTTATTGGGTGAATCTGGGGAGTCCTGGGCTCCCTGCTTGTCTGGTGCACTTTGGGTCAAGCTGCTTTTCTGGTGCTTCACCTTGCATTTGGAGACAGTTCACTCTAGATGTAACTAGGGTTCGTTTTAGGTTGAAATGGGTTTTCCTTTTTCTCAGTCACATCTCATGATTGAAAACCTTACCTGTTGCTGTCAGTACCAAATGATATCACCACTGTTCTCAAAGGAAATAGTTCAAGCTGTGAAACCCCTACTGAACAACAAGGAAGTGAATACTTGGGCCACTGGCCCCTAGTCCTGGCTCCTCTCTGCCACAGTACTAGGCTGGGATGCAGGAGTGCTGGGCACAAACCCCTCTGACTCATGACCTGCAAACCAAACCCACAAATGAGGTCCATGGTAAGAACTCACCCTTGGGGTAGCCTAATGAAGTGGAACACTAAGGGTTCTTTGGAAAGTCAGTTGTGTTGGCTGGTGTTTTGCAGGGGCAAACATGTGAAGGAACGTTTTGCTGAAGCAGACACAGATAAAAGGATGTTCTTCTAAAGCAATCACATGAAAGGACACATGATGAGGGATTCCTTGCTAACAACATGCATGTTTTGGTCCACCTCACATTGTGTAGTTGAACTGTACTTATTGGGACTCCATAGAGAGAAATGCACCAAAAAACTTCTGGTGGTGTGCCTCAGCTTCTTGCACTTCCCTGGACTTGGGCTGATGGGCAGGAGTATGTCAGTGGAGACCGACACATGTCTTGAGGCAAGACCCGAGGAGAACACATGTTTGGAGGGTATAAGTAGGACTCAATGGACAGTGACTGGAGGTGAGCATGGCTTGCTTATAGAGCTAGCTGTGCAGGGGGTGTGTGTGAGCATGGCTTGCTTATAGAGCTAGCTGTGTGTGGGGGTGGGGAGTGAGCATGGCTTGCTTATAGAGCTAGCTGTGGGGGTGGGGTGGGGGGTGAGCATGGCTTGCTTATAGAGCTAGCTGTGCAATGCTTATGGGTCTCCTGGCTTTACTGATCTTTGCTTCCCTGAGAAAGGCTCAGCCAAGAACTTCTCCTGGTCCCTCCTGCTGACTTGAGCAGAGGCTGAGGCCTGGCTCTCTCTGTGTCACCAGTGTTGCTAACCCAACTCTACTGAACTGGACTGCTGGTGCCAGTGTATCCTTGAAATGTCTTTGAATGGATCAAGCTGCCACTGCCTGCAAACCTGTGAACGGAACTGCCAATTGCCAGACAACAGATGGGATTTGCTCCAAAGAACCTTTCTAAAGCGGTCCACTTCCTCCACCCTCCCCAGCCCCAGTATCCTTTCTTTCCCACTACCTCTGATAGGTGGTGGGCTACAAGGGAGGTTTAAGTGTTTAAGAACCATTATTGAAACCAGGATTTAAAAAAAAATTAAGTTACACCCTCAGTTTCTAGAACACAGGTACCTTAACCCCAATGAGTAAATTCAATGTTAGCAACAACCTGTGAGCAGACTCACTGTGTACATAAGAGAATGAAGCTAAGGGCTGGGGTGCAGCTAACTGACGAGAATGCTTTTGTCTCACGCACAGCCCTGTGGGTTTCACTCCTGACCTCATAAAAGACTACAATAGGAGCGGTGGGTCCCTCAAGATCATATGATGAGTGAAACAAATGACCACAAACTTTCTGCTCTCAAACACATTTATTATCCCCAACAGTTTTTGAGGGTCCTGAAGAGCTCTCATCTAGCCGTCCTGCCAGGGTAGAAGGACCCCCTTTCCAGTTTCCTGCCCTTGTGGCTCTTGTTCGCTGGACATTTCTGCAGAGTCTCAGCAGTGTGGCTGGCTTCCAAAGAGTGGGAGTGTAGAAGGGAAAGGCCGCAGTGTGTGTGTGCGTGCGTGCATGTGTTTGTGTGTATGTGTGTGTGTGTGCATGTGTGTGTGTGTGCATGCATGTGTGTGTGTGTGTGTGTGCATGTGTGTGTGTGTGTAACCCAGGCTGGTCTCATCCATTTGAGAGTTGGGCTTTTCAGGCTACACTAAGGCCTAGTCTTCTTGTTCCTGTAATTATTGGGACTCAGGATAGCTCTGAATGCCCCTTCCTTTAGGGTAGGGTTGAAGACCAGACTCAATAAGAAAACTGAGTAAACATCAAATTTGAACTTCAGATGAATGATGGGTAAATCTTTATCACAAGTACACCTCACATATTTCTAGGCAGCCCTGCTTTGGAGAGCCTGGGGCTAGGAGGAAGGGACTTGGAGTGGGGGTACATTAGAGGGGCTGGGTCCGGGTGTTCTAGGATGTGTGTGACGCACACTGATGGGACTTTTATTGATGCCAACCATGATCCTCCCATGCCAGTCCCCCACTTCTCAGAAGGACCCAGACTGAATGACCAAGGAATCAGGGGCTGATAGATGACAACCTGGACAGTCCACCATCCTAGAAAACCTCCTTTCCTGGGGGATGGAGAGGAGTCACCCTTTCTGGATTCCAGGTGGGTAAGGGAAGAAGGGCAAGGAGATAGTTATTTCAGATTCTGACCTGCTCTGGAAGAGAGCGAGGCAGAGGAGCAGCTCAGGCTGAGGGACCCCTCACAGTGTTCTTCTTCCCAGGAAGCCAGTCCCAATGTCACCTCCCTGGCCCCTGAGCAAGCCCCCTGCTTCTCCCCACAACCCTGGGTCTCCCTCCCCATCATGTCTGCTCTCAGCCCATCTCAAGTGTCTCCCTCCTTTATTTAGAAAGGAATTGCTCCTGGGAGGGAGCTCTCCCAACCATGACCTCAGCCCAACCACACAGCACCAGCTAGGCACAAGCTCAAGGGCAGGAACTCAGACTGCTGCTGTCTGCCTGAGTGTTTACTCATGCCTGCTCTAGATGAAGCGCCTATCCTGTTCCTTATAGGAGAAGGGGTCCCCAGGGAAAGGCCGGGTTGGGGGCTGGTTGTAGACACCCTGCAGGAAGATCCAGACTGTGCCCACCACCATGACGGGTGTGACCACAAACAGGCAGAGACGGTCCACTATGCGGGCCACCTGGTTCCAGTTTTCCTTCTCCTATAAGTAGGGTCAAGACACCATGGGGTGAGGGAGGTCTTCAGACTGCAGGCTTACACCCCTAAGCTAGGGCCCAGAAATGGAGGCATATAGGCTCGGTTTGTATGTGTCTGTTTGGGGCACCTCAGGCTTACATCAGTAGGCTGGGCCAGGACAAGATGCCACTACTTCTACTAGGGACCCAAGCCATTCAGGGCTGCTTCTAGCCACGTGTGATCAGGAGGATACAATGGAGGACAGTTAAAAAGTTGCCTAAGAATACAACCCAGTGTGGATGTCTTTGAAAGGTCTGGTGCTGGGCTGAGGTTGTAGCTCAGTGGTACAGTGCTTTCCCAGCATACATAGGCCCTGAGTCTAATCCCTAGAATCACAGAAGTAACATAATAATAAAACAAGATTATAAATAAATATATAATAAAAATATACTTACATGTAACATACTATATAATATTTTTAAATGATATACTTATTAATTCTTATTTTATAATATATTTATATATTATATATTTGTGTTATACTATAATAAATATATGATATATAAATACACATCTATGTATAATATATAAAAATAAATAAATATAATAAGTAGGTGCTCTCTGGAGTATCCGAGCAGAAAGAACAGACCCTAAGATGTACTTAAAATTTGTCCTGGTCCTGTAGGGCTGTCTGTTTGTGTGTACCCCTGAGTGTGGCCCAGTGTGATGCTGTGGGTTTCCATGAAGGAATGCTGCCTTCCTGGGAGAATGTACTCAAGGGTCCCTTACCCACCATGCTCTTCATCTAAGTGGACATATGCACATGATGGGAAGACAGAATTCACTTGATCACTAGTCTACTTGAACATCTGATTCCACGGTGAGCTGAGCTCAGGTCACTCACCTCATTGTAACTGTTCTGGTCCCTCATGTGGTTGACGATGAAGTTTGCCCCATCCACAGCTGGCTTTATCTCATTGAAGAGCTCCTGTTGGACCTGCTCAGAGCTTGCTGGTGGCCTGCCTGTGGACACAGGCCAGGGGCAGGCGTGATGTCTATCCCTGCCCACCTCCTACACATGGCCCAAGCTCCAAGGCTACCAGAACTCACGGGCTGTGGTGAGGCGCTGGGCCAGCCCATGTCGCTCTGATTGCTTCTCAAACATAAGGTCACTGCGGGACTTGAGTGAGAAATACTCTTCTGCCTTGGAGATGTATCCCAGAGAGCTGCTTCTCCTGATGAGAGCCCCGAGGCCTGGGTCTTCCTTTGCTGGGCGGGACATGTGCAGGAGCTTGGGTAAGGTCTCCAGGAAGAGCTTTAGCAGTCAAGGGGACACAAGACAGGCCATTTCACAAATGCATTCTGAGGACACTGGTTGCCACATAGAGCTCCCATGCTGACCCCATTGTCTGTTTCCCAGATTCCCCACTGACTGATGTAGGATGCTTTCAACGGTCCCTCATTTCTTATAGCTACAGCAGAACTCAGTCACTGAAAATAAATCTGAAGAACAAAAGAAGCTGAGGAATGAGGATACATGCTTTTAATCCCAGCATTCAGAAGGCTGAGGCAGGAGAATTAAGAGTTTGAACATATGTTTTATCACTGATTCACTGATACACACCCCAGCCTCCTTCCTCCTTCTGCCCCGGATTCTCCCTCTTCCTCCTCCTCCTCCTCCTCTTCCTCCTTCTCCTCCTCTCTCCCTTCCTCCCTCCCTCCCTCCCTCCCTCCCTCCC